GCTATAGAAGTGAGACCTTCTGGAACAGGGAATGTATTTGCCACTTTGCACAAAGGAACAATTTTTTTGTGTGTGTGTCGGGTGTATTCACATATTTTTGTTCTGAATTCTCTTGGATATAGCCTCACAAATAGAATTTCTACAAGCTGAATCTCTTTTGAAAGCTCATTTGGCCTAAAATTTTGCATTTCTATTAATGTTACTTTCTTCTTCTGCTCTGTTTTTCCTTATCATTGGGAAAGGCAATGCTTTGAAATGATCACATTACAAGCAAATGAAAATTTAAAAATGAATGGAAAGGGAAGGGAGATACTTGCCTGATTTCCTTTGACACTGTCTGGCTTTCTTTCACGCACATTAGTGCTAGTTGTTCTGGCTTCATTCCTGTTGCCATACTTTTCATATTCAGCTCACTGATGAGCTAGAATTATTCCTTTTGTTAACTCAGAAGCCTGCAAATGATGAAAATATTACATATTCACCAGGTCAAATTTGAGAAATTTTTCTGAATTAAAAAAAAAAATTCTGTTTAATAGTCTGCTCTGAAATTAGGGAAATTGAATAGAGTAAGCTAACATCTGAAAAAGAGGAAAAGGTTTGTGTTAGATATTTATACAGAGCCCTGGCAATAGATATTTGAACATCTAAACCCAAAATGTAGGAAACCTAGGTAATAGGAAACCAACTTATTGAAAATAGTATCTAATCCAAAACAATAAATATTTTCCAAGCAAATGCTTGGCTCTTTAGTAAGAATAGCACATAAATGCAAATTTGGTAAATCTGATGGTTTTTACATTTCTGGTACAATGGTGCTCTTGCCATCACATGTAAATACGGGTGAGAACTTATTTTCTAGCTGATTAGGAAATGTGCACATCCTATGGTTTCATGTGGGTAACAGATGTCTTGGCTTTTACAGACTAATTGGCAAAGGGGGGAAAAGGGGGATACTTAAAGGGGTAGAAGGAGACACAAGACAAGTGTAATCCTCGTTATGGGGGAGAAATCTAACAGATCTCCTTATTATGGATAATTGCCTCCTTCAACTTTATTTGCTATCCTTTTCCATATGACTCAAATACAGTATAATGAGGAAGTATAAAATAAAGAAACATAAGGCTGGACTACTGTCTGCTGACAACCAGATTTATCATGTCATGGAATATCCTAGTATAATTGACTCAAATAGCATCAGTTTAAAAAAAATGAAAGCATAAGTCTCATCACTAATGGAAACGTGTGTTTTAATTGGTGGCACAAGGGTTCTTTGTTGAAGATGGTTGGTATAAATAGTTTAATCATATACCAAATGTGACCATATAGTGGACTCATGGGAAATGAAAAATGTGGGACTAAATATGTCATATCTTAGTTATACATCTTAGGTCCTCTTTAGTCTGCTGTTTGTTTTCCATTGGTGCTATAGTACTGCCAATTGATCCGGAATAAATGGGAACATTTAGCAGATGTTAGAAGCCATTATCATTAACAAATCCTCATTTTTTTCAGTGTTTATCATAGTGTAAAGTTTAAAGTAAGGTGTGTTTTTCTATGCCTTAACTATGTTACTTAAATCCATATTCTTCTGACTGATATTTTTACTTTAAATAGAAGGAAATTCTCATAGCCAATTAAATATTCTGTGAGTAACTACATTACTCCTTGATAATTATTATTATGTAATCATTTTTATGAGAAGCCAGTAGTGCTTCTAAGAGAGAGAAAGTATCAGGTTAAGTACTTGAAGTCTTACACTTAATACAAAATTCAGACAAGGTGAAATGTAAGATTTTGTATGTTAAATGCCGGGCACATAATGCTGACTTCAATTTGACCACCTGTCTCCTCAGAAAATAGGTAGGTAGCATTTGGTTAAAAATTATCAGCTGTGTTTTGAAAGGTTATTAGGAAAATAGAGACCATCTCAATTGGCAATTGTTAATTAATTACGAATGTCATTTTGTTCTATTAGAATTATATTTTATTCACAATTTCTAGAAATCAGTGAGGTGGGAGAATAGTTTCGGTACTTGTCTTTTTTTAAATGGTAGCCTTGGTGGAGTTGCTGAGTGGTGCAAACAGTTAAGCAGTCGACTACTACTGAAAGGTTGGTGGTTACAACCCACCCAGAGGCACCTGAGAAGAGTCATGGCAATTTGCTTCTGAAAGGTCACAGCCTTGAAAGCCCTATGGAGCGGTTCTGTGCTGCACACATGGTCGCCATGAGTCGGAAGTGACAGGATGGCAACCAACAACAACAACATTGGTAGGGTAGAAGAGCATTGGTTGAGTAAACTAAAGACTGTTATGTTAAGTAAGTCACTTGATCTTCTGAGCCTCATTTGCTTGTCTATAAACTAGAAATAATGAAAACTAACTCCTACAGTTGCATTGGGAATTATATGTGATGATGAATGCACATAAAACTAACATGTGTTTAACTGTTGAGTACTTTAGGTTGTTTCCACTCAGTGGATCCATATTCCTTAGTTGCCTTGATTTCCTGCCTCAGATTCTATGGATAATAGAAAACTCCAGGGGACTTTGGTAAGGAGTCTAGTAACAAATGGTTTGAGATTGCATGTCAGGAGAGTCATTCTTCTTCCAGATATCAGCCCCTTAAAATATGAGGGTGAAGAATAGGCACAGAGGGGCAGATTTCTTAATTGTCAAAATATGGATATTTCATGTGCTGAAATTATATATTCATAGAGTCATAAAATGTTGGGAATACATGAAAGTTCAAAATTCCTGGACAAACTGCCCCTACCCCAATTGATTTATCATTTTCAGAGGAAAACACTGAGGCCCTGTGAGGTTAAATGTCTTCTCCAAAGTCAATCAGTGAGTTATTTACAGAGCTAGGACTGGGGCTTTGTCTTTTCCTGAATTATTTGCCAGGCATCATCGCCAGACACCACCACCCTGCTGGGTGAGTGTCTAGAATCTAGCCTGGATCATTAAAAGAATGGAAGCCTTCAGTTCATTCTCGGCAGAGCAGAAGGAGATGCATTTCTTTGTTATGCCTTTTAAGTGATTCATGCACCCTAGTTCATTAACCCATTCCTTTGGCTTACAAACTTATTTCGATTTTTTGCTTAGGGGAACTAGCTTTACCGCTTCCAGTGGTAGAAAGAGACATTGCCACTAATGTTACATAGTGCTTTCTATGTGCCACGCATTGTTCTAAGGGCTTTACATTTATTAACTAATTTATTCTTTACAACAACACTATGAGGAGGTATATGACTCTTATCTTTCATGTAAAGAAATGGAGGCACACAGGGGCCAAGTAATACCCAAGATTATAAAGGTAGTATAATCAAGATTCAAAGGCCTTTGTCAGAGTGGAGTTGGAAGATGGTAAAGAGAGAGATTCCACTGTCAGAAGACATCTGAGTGAATGGATTCCCACTGTGCCCTCTCTCATGAAAGGAAATGGCCTTGAATACCATGTTCAAAATCACCTAGATTTTATATAGCTAGCTCTACTGAATCCCAAACAATCTAGAATACAAGGTCCTACTATAACATAAATATTGATCAAAGAGTACATTTATTTATGTTGATTAGTACTAGAATAAATAGGGGGAGTGAGCTATTATGTTTGGTCCAATACTGAGAACAAAATAGTATTTTATTTTCTCGTATTTCTTTTAGCTTGTACTAATAAAAATGTTTAGAAGAATGGTACTTAATACCAGCCAAGAAAAATATATAAAAAAAAGAACACTTTTTTTCCTAATTAATATATGATTTCTTCTTACTTACCCAGTTACATGGGAGTATTATTGTTTTTGCTCCTATATTTGTATTTGAGTTGAGCATAAAAATTGCCATTTATGTATAAAATATTTTAGAGCTATAAAATCACCTCAGATTTGAGTGGTAGCAATTCAAAGACTTCAGTTTCAGTAAAAGTTATTGTATGGTAAACTTTGGACATTTGGATAATTGATAGTTGTGGGACCAGTTACAATTTAATGAAAAGTTCATTAAAGTAGTAATACAAAAGGCTGATTTAGGATTGTACTATTTTAAAACACTATATTAAATAAAATTGAAATTAACTGCTCACAACCACTGTACTGTTTATGCTGACAAGTATTTTACATTAAAAACTGAGAAGTATTGCACTGCTTTGAACATCACATGAGTTAATGTGTGGTGTTTGTGTGCGTGGGGAGGGGGGCAGTGAGGAATGTTAAGGAGACGTGTGAACAGATTAATTTAGCAAAGTCTAATTTTTTAAAAATTATATTGTATAGATGTGTTAAACTTTATTATTATTGTGCTTTCCTTTATGGAATAGGTGTGTTCATTAAATAAAAATGCCTGAAGGTCATGGTGTATGTTCAGTTGACTCTCATTTTAAGGGAGAAGTATAATGGTTTATCAATGCCTTAAAGTTACTATGACAAAAACAGTAATGTTAGAATATCACAGAATATAAATGTAAAGAATCACGATGATTGTTTTTGGAGCTGTAAATATCCCTGATTAGTTTTGTGTTTAGCACATCTGATTAAAAAATTAAAGGGAAAAAGAGTAAATGAACAGAACACACTGAACTGTTTGGTTACAGAGCCACCACAACCACACTTTATACTCTACAAATCATGCTGGATATCTCCCCTTGGTTGCTGTGATACTGTTTCCCAGCATTTCATTGGAGCAATTGATTTTAAAATGAACCTATTTGCAGATAAGCAGGAGGGATTTAGAGCCTGGATGAGATAAATATTTTAAAATATAGTAAATACTGAATAATTTTACAAAAGTACAATAAATAGTGAGTGATAACTGAGCAGCCTGTTTAACGAAACGTGACTGAGAGAGCAATAACACAGCATTAGGGCATGCTTATCAAGTCCTGTTTATTTAAACCCTTCCTCAGTTTTCATTAAGCTTGAATTTCTATGTACTCATTTTGTATTATGAAACAAATTTTCAGGTTTTCTTTTTGCATTTTAAAGCTTTTTGCTTACATTTTCCAGGATTGAAGTGTGTGTGTCTTTTGTGTGATTCTTCAAACTTTACCTGCCATACGGAAGGAGCATGTTGGGCTTCAGTCATGCTAACCAACGGAAAAGAACAGGTGATCAAGTCTTGTGTCTCTCTCCCAGAATTAAATGCTCAAGTCTTCTGTCATAGTTCCAACAATGTTACCAAAACTGAATGCTGCTTCACAGATTTTTGTAACAACATAACACTGCACCTTCCAACAGGTAAGGGGTTCATCTTTGTTCATTTCACATTTAATTTTATTCTTGGGAAATTATAAGCATGGTAGAAAGCAAACTGTCTTATGTTTCTTTAAATAAGAAAATGTGTTTCACAGTTCTTTTTTTTTTTGGTTTGTTTTTGGCTGGAAAAATTCTCTAAAACCGAAATAAGAGCCATCAGATGAATAGACATATGTACACCCATGTTCATTGCAGCATTATCCACTATAGCAAAAAGATGGAAACAACCTAAGTGGCCATCAACAGAAAAATGGATAAACAAAGTATGTATATACACACAATGGAATACTAATGCAATGATAAAGAACAATCATGAATCCGCGAAACATCTCAGAATGTGAATGCATCTGGAGGGCATTATGCTGAGTGAAATAAGTCAATCACAAAAGGACAAATATTGTATAAGACCCTATTATAAAACACCCAAGAAAAGGTTTACACACAGAAAAAAAAAAAACAATCTTTGATGGTTACGAGGGAAAGGAGGGGTGGGGAGGGGAATCACTAACTAGATAGTAGACAAGTGTGTTAACTTTGGTGAAAGAGAAGACAGCATATAGTATAGGGGAAGTTGGCACAACTTGACCAAGGGAAAGTCACAGAAGCTTCATAGACACATCCAAACTCCCTAAGGGACTGAATTACTGGGCTGAGGGCTGGAAACCATGGTCTTGTGGTACATCTAGCTCAACTGACATAACATAGTTTATAAAGAAAATGTTCTACATCCTTCTTTGGTGAGTAGCGTCTGGGGTCTTAAAAGCTTGTAAGCGGCCATCCAAGACACATCTATTGGTCCTATCGTGTTTGGAGCAAAGGAGAATGAAGAAAGCCAAAGACACAAGGAAAATATTAGTCCAAAGGACTAATGGGCCACAACTAGCACCAGCATGAGCCCAGAAGAACTAGATGGTGCCTGGCTACCACTACCGACCACTCTGATAAGGATCAAGATAGAAGGTCTTGGACAGAGTGGGAGAAAAATGTAGAACAAAATTCAAATTCATGAAAAAACCACCAGACTTACTGGTCTGACAGAGACTGGAGGAACCCCGGAGACTATAGCCCCTAGACACCCTGCTAACTCAGAACTGAAGCTACTCCCAAAGTCCACCTTTCATCCAAAGATTAGACAGGCCTATAAAACAAACAATAACACATGTGAGGAATGTGCTTCTTAATTCAGTCAAGTATACAAGACCAAATGGGCAACATCTGTCCAAAAGCAAAGATGAGAAGGCAGGAAGAGATAGGAAAACTGGACGAATGAACATGGAGAACCCAGCCAGGGTGGAAAGGGAAATGGAGAGAGTGCTGACACATTGTGGGGATTGCAACCAATGTCACGAAATAATTTGTATATAAAAATTTTGAATTAAAAAAAAATTACAGCCTAGAAAACCCTGTGGGACAGTTCTACTCTGTTACATGTGGTCACTATGAATGGAAATTGACTCAATAACACTTAACATCAGTGAATTTAACACTAATTTCTAATGGTTAATCATTGTGACTTTTAATTTTATAAAATATTGGTCTTTATATTTTTAAGTTTTTAACATTATTACAATATTTTAAAACACCACTCTACATTAATAAGCAAATATTTTAATTTGTTTAGCAACGATGAGATGTTTAAAATAAACTAAATAGCAACTTTATGTAGTATATGAACTTTCAATAGATTCCAATAAACTTCAGGAAAATTCTCTAAAACGTTGTTGGGTGGAATATTTTTCTTAAAAATTGCACAACAGTGTCAAAACAGTGACAACAGCATAACAACTTTGATGAAATCTGTCCATGCGAATTGTATTTTTTGAAGTGATTAATGGACTTAAAGTAAAATGTAAATTGTCATGGGTTCTTTCAGAGAAAGAAGTTGAAATGTATACTCCATTGAGATATAAAAAAGAAAGACAAAAATGAAACTAAAAATAAAATATTGTCAACTTTTATGGAGACAGATCCCTTTTTTTTTCATGGGTATCTCCTGCATATCACCTCCATCTTCCCACACTCAAATGAGAGCACTCATTAGCAGAGAGAGAAAGAAAGGAATTAGACCCTTCATTATTCTTTGTTGTTAAGATATATTCCTATCTTTTCCCCAATTTTATGGTCTTTCATCCCAGTTCACAATGTTACTGAAAATATTAATCTCATCATTTATTGGCAATCTGGAATCTGAAACTTTGGAAGATGTTAAGGCATATAATTCTGAATTAAAAACTAGTTTATGACATGAAAATTTTCCTGTTAGTGAATGTTTTAAAATATTTATTAATATAGTAATTATTGAATGTTTATTGATGTGTTAATATCTATACACACACACACACACTTTTCCCTATGAATTAACAATTTAAGGTACTGTTATCCAATCTTCGGGCATTCATATACCACTAGAACAATATACCACCATAGTATTTTTTACCTATTTTTAAAATAAATGAACTACCAGTTTTCCACTTACAAAAATTTATTTTATACAGGAACTTGATATAACCACCACAAACAAAAAAACAGCTTTACTGTTTAGCAGAGGAGGCAAATCTCTTCATTAGTCTGTGGTAGTGGCCTCTTTAACATGTCCTATCAATAATGAGTTACTCACAACACCACATTCTGCCAGTCATCAGGGGCACAAGACACTATTTTGACTACAACAGATGTCTTGAATAACAAGATGCTTTATATGCAGTTGGGCAAATTAAAGTTACTTAGTACAGCTAGAAAGTGTTCCTTTCCAATCCAACTATAAATTCCCCCTTGGTGCTGAGAAGCCTATGGTCCTACCCCTAAGACCAGTCAAGACTCAGTCTCTCTTTAAAAATCAACTTTATTGAGGTGTAATTTATACATAATAAAATGTGTACCATCATGTGTCTGTCAGTTTGTTTTACTGTGATGGTTTGCGTGTTACTGTGATACTGGAAGCTTTGGCACCAGTATTTCAAATACCAACAGGGTCACCTTTGTGGACAGGTTTCACTGGAGCTTCCAGACTAAGACAGACTAAGAAGAAGGACGTGGCAGTTTACTTCTGAAAAAATTGGCCTGTGAAAACCTTATGAATAGCAGCAGAACATTGTCTGATGTAGTGCTGGAAGATGAACCCCTCAGGTTGGAAGGCACTCAAAATATGACTGAGGCAGAGCTGCCTCCTCAAAATAGAGTTAACCTTAGTGATGTGGATGGAGTCAAATTTTCAGGATCTTCATCTGCTGATGTGGCATGACTCAAAATGAGAAGAAGCAACTGCAAACATCCATTAATAGTCGGAACGTGGAATGTACGAAGTATGAGCCCAGGAAAATTGAAAGTCATTAAAAATGAAATGGAATGCATAAACATCCATATCCTAGGCATTAGTAAGCTGAAATGGAATTGGCCATTTTGAATTAGACAATCATATGTTCTACTATGCCGAGAATGACGATGAAGAATGGTGTCGCATTCATCGTCAAGAAGAACATTTCAAGATCTATCCTGAAGTACAGTGCTGTCGGTGATAGGATAATATCCATATGCCTACAAGGAAGACCAGTTAATACAACTGTTATTCAAATTTACACACCAACCACTCAGGCCAAAGATGAGGAAATTGAAGATTTTTAGCAACTTTCACAGTCTGAAATTGATCAAACATACAATCAGGATGCATTGATAAATATTGGTAATTGGAATGTGAAAGTTGGAAACAAAGAAGAAGGATTGGTAGCTGGGAAAATATGACCTTGGTGATAGAAATGATGCCAAATTGCATGATAGAATTTTGCAAGACCAACCACTTCTTCACTGCAAATACCTTTTTTCAACAACATAGACAGGGACTATACATGTGGACCTTGCCAGATGGAATACACAGGAATCAAATTGATTACATTTGTGGAAAGAGATGATGGAAAAGCTCAATATCATCAGTCAGAGCAAGGCCAGGGCCTGACTGTGGAACAGACCATCAATTGCTCTTATGCAAGTTCAAGTTGAAGCTAAAGAAAATTAGAACAAGTCCACGACAGCCAAAGTACGACCTTGAGTATATCCCACCTGAATTTAGAGACCATCTCAAGAAGAGATTTGATGCGTTGAACACTAAGGACCAAAGAGCAGTCGAGTTGTGGGATGACATCAAGGACATCACACATGAAGAAAGCAAAAGGTCATTAAAAATTCAGGAAAGAAAGAAAAGACCAAAATGGATGTCAGAAGAGACTCTGACACTTGCTCTTGAACGTAGAGTAGCTAAAGCGAATGGGAAGAAACGATGAAGTAAAAGAGCTGAACAGAAGATTTCAAAGGGCAGCCCAAAAAGACAAAGTAAAGTGTTATAATGAAATGTGCAAAACATCTGGAGTTAGAAAACCAAAAGGGAAGAACACTCTTGGTTATTTCTTGAGCTGAAAGAACTGAAGAAAAAATTCAAGCTTCGAGTTGCAGTATTGAAGGATTCAATGGGCAAAATATTGAATGACATAGGAAGCATCAAAAGAAAATGGAAGGAATACACAGAGTCACTGTACGAAAAAGAACGAGTCGATGTTCAGCCATTTCAGGAGGCAACATATGATCAAGAATCAATGACAATGAAGGAAGACATTCAAGCTGCACTGAAGACATTGGAGAAAAACAAGGCTCCAGGAATTGACGGAATACCAATTGAGATGTTTCAACAAACACATGTAAAGCTGGAAGAACTCACTTGTCTATGTCAATAAATTTGGAAGAGAGCTGCCTGGCCAACCAACTGAAAGAGATCCATATTTGTGCCCATTCCAAAGAAAGGTGATCCAACAGAATGCAGAGATCATCAAACAGTATCATTAATATCACATACAAGTAAAATTTTGCTGAAAATCATTCAAAAGCAGTTACAGCAGTACATCGACAGGAAACTGCCAGAAATTCAAGCCTGATTCAGAAGAGAACGTGGAACTAGGGATATCATTGCTGATGTCAGATGGATCATGGCTGAAAGT